TTAAATTGCCGGTAGATGAGTAGTACTCTGGATTTGTGGTCCTCTTATGTGTTCGAGTTTTCTTCTGTCAGTTGACTTTTGTATGTGCGTGTAAACCATTTTGATAATGTTGGTGTGTTGTACTCCATTTATCATGAAATTAATTCTATTTCTGTTAAAGCTGATCAAGACTACTTGGTTTCTTTACTGTCTAATCTTAACTCAAGTTGTCATAACTCAAAATTGCAGCAACGGTTCTTCCAAACCTGAAGTTAAATAAAGTTTTGTTTGTAGTTGCCTGTTTGGTTTGTGTTCTGTTGAAACCCTGTCTGCGGTTGAATTTACTTGGAAAACTTTTCAAGGAAGTTGTTTTCTAAATGCACAGAGAGATGTCATAAAGAGGCCATGCCCATAAATGGCTTGTCTGAAACCTGAACTAAACTGCTGGACTGATGGTGGTTTTCCACTTCTGTTATTTGTGGAATCCAATGTGGGGGAAAACCAATACAAGCAGGGATGTTTTCTAGATCATTATTTCTGGAAGTTTCATCAAATAGCTCGTTTTAAATTCTATTCTCATGCTTCAATTTGAAAGCAGTTATTTCTAAGGTTGATTTGATTGGTTGACTGACTCTAACCCTACAGAAACAAGACACTGGTTAGTTCCTGCATGCTGTGATTACAGTACACCCTCAAACTGTTTATATCGTCAGTCATTTTCTGTTTTCTGAGATGATGCAAAATGTTCATCACATGACATCTAGGCTCAGTTTACCACATTACACTTAACGTTAATATTTACCTTTGGCTGAACATCTGTCATACATCTGAAGTTAAAGGTGACATATAATGAAAATCTATGTAATCAGCTATAATCAGGTCCCCGGTGCATCTACCAACCAAGGAAACGTGAAAAAGATTAACCCAGTAACTTTGTTTTGGGAAGCCTTTTTCTGCAAGAGTGAGAAAACGAGTGTGTCGGATTTCGCTCCCTTGGTGACGTGGCAAAGGGGTCTCATTATAATATTACCTCCCCTTAATCTGTAAATTTACACCCAAGGTGCCTTCATTTTGATTTCGCAAGCTACAACAGTGTACCAGTTCTAATGCCATGGCAAAAGTTTGAGCAAAGTATGCTAACTGTTCTGTCTTTGGCTGCACAGACGAGCACAGAACA